ACGTACGACGTACGACGTACGACGTACGACGTACGACGTACGACGTACGACGTACGACGTGGAACAGACCCACAACAACCATGCTCAAAACGGCCTGATTCGGGTTCTCTGACCTCAGAAACGTCCAGAAAACATGTTTTTGAGATGTCGTAAATTTTGACCCATTGCAATACTTTCCCCTTTCACACTATGTGTGTGCGGAAAAGTAAAACTGATGATGATGAAGAAGAATGGCAGAAAGCATTGAGAAAGTATCCATTATTATCCCCTGTCTTTGTGATTTGCGTACTGTACTTCAACCGGCAACATTTTGTCTGTGTGTGCGTGTGTTTGTTTGCGAAGCATGTTCGTTTAGCCTGTCATTTGGTCTGCGCTCTTGTTACTTGTTACTCGAACATCATTTTCCTTTTTCCATTCCTTAAGTCTTCGATTTCATCTTTTTATTCTATTATTCACTAGCATATCAATACGATACATCTTCATATAATATATATATCTAGAAAAAGCTTAATATAATAATTTGTTTGTTTGCATGTTATCTCTCATTGTGTTCGTTGTTTTTTCTTATCTTCTTTTTTCTATTTTTTTCTTCTTCTATTGTTGCTGTATGATTCGGTGATTTGCGAAATTCGAATATATTTTTGAAGGGTTTACATCAGTCGCATACAATGGATGGTTGTTCGGCACCGATCGTTGTCAAATTTGCCGATACACAAAAAGAAAAAGAACAAAAAAAGATGCAGCAAATGCAAGCAAATTTATGGAATTTGGCTGCAGCCAATATGAATATTGGTACGACAACAGCACCATCCACACCATCAATACTACCGAATCCGCCACAACAATCCAGTCCAATTTTAGCTGCAACCGAATCAATAACACCGGCATCATTGCATCTACTACAACAATTGCAGGCAGTTGGTTTGCAACAACAAATTCTACAAGGTAAAAATTTGTCTCTTAATCGATTTTCATTTCTCCAGTCATTCACTCACTCATTCATTCATTCATTCAACATTCATTTACTTTCTCTCTCTCTCTCTCTCTCATTCTCTGGACACTCGTGCTCTCAATTTCTATGTCTCATCTGAGATGAACGTTTACAAATTTAAAGAGCATTTTAGAAAAATGGTAAACTTTTCTCGAGTTCGATGATCATACTTACAAACGAATCAATTGAAAGTATGTTCACTTTAAGTATCTCTTTCTCTCATCAGCAAACACTCCAGACCATACTACCACATCGTTGTTGTCAATGTCAAATTGAGATAAAAGAAGAAAGAGAGAGAGAGAGAGAGAGAGAGAGAGAGAGAGAGGACGAGAACTCAGTTAGATCGTTTTGTCGGATATTTTAATAAGTTAAATGGCCTTTCGTGTATTTTTGCCTCATCTAATTTCAAGAAACGAATCGAAACTCATTTGAAAATCTACTTATAAAGTGATTTAAAAATTTTGTGAAACTGACACACAGGCACACATATACAGAATGAGTTTATTTCCAGGGTTTTTCGTTTTTCCATCCAAAAACTACTAGAAAACGGTACAAGTTTTCTAATTAGTAGCAATTTATTTCAGTTTTGAGCGCAAAAGTTTCGTTAAATTCATCGCTACGTCGAAAATGCGACACGTTTCGTGTGCACAAGACTGAGCAAGAGAGCCAGCTAGTACACGTAATGACGTATGAGTTTGATGTCCATGTTCACTTCAGTCACACACACTTTTTTTGGCAAACTAAATAAAGCCATGTCGTACGTCGAACTCTCGTGATGTCCGTGAACATTGTGTCAGTAAATGATGGAGAAAGTTTGAGTGAGATGTGGAGTTGTGTTTGTGTGTCTATGTGTATTTCATACACATTACATCTCACTAATTTATATTCGTTGTGTCTACTATTCTAATTAAATTGATGTTTTAGGTTTAAATACACAATCGGCTGAATCAACCGCAGCAGCTGCAGCCGCTGGACTCTTACCACCGATGAACATACAAAGTTTAGCAGCTTTAGCAGCAATGACTCAACCATCAATTCCGGCCGCTACCACCGCACAACCCAGTGCACCACTCACAAATGCAGCAACGCTATTATGTAAGTAGACAGGCGACAAGAGCTAAACATCATTTACAATGAACCAAACTGAATTTTTGAATTTTTACGAGAGAAAAAAGGAAACACAACAAAATTATTTATATATATACATGAAGAAGAAAATGAAAATGCCAGAAAAAAAACGAGAATAAGTTTGTTATAGTGGTAAAGAAAATCGAAATTGTAGATGTGGGATAGAGAGGGTGTAGAAAAATGACAAAACTTATATACATTGAGATATACAGTATTATTATGGAATTCAAAGGAAAAATAATTGACGGCGCAAGGGGAGGAGGACAGAGAAGAAAAACTAACAACCATCACAATTTAGCTTGCGTCCAAAATAAAACCATTTTCATTTTCATTCTATTCATGGCATTCATAGTGCATATTCGGTATCTTCTCATGAATCTCGATTATATTCGTTTACCCTTTATTCGGAAAATTCCCTTTCACATCGCATCCCGCTCGATCCAATTGGCCACTTGGCATTGGCAGTTTTGCAACGCTGTCTCTTTCTATTCTTCACACAATTGCTGTCTCGTACGCGTTCAATTCCATAAACCGACTCATACCACCATTCACTATTACACTACTTTGCCAGCCTGGGCTACACTTTTTGATTATGTATTTTTCATTTGTTGTTTCCATTGCTGGTTGATGTTGTGTTGCGTTGTGTTTTGTGTTGGATTTTATTCGTTTGCATTTAGCGAAAATGCGAAAAAACGATGAAAAATGCCATTTCAAATAACTGAATTGAGACAAGAAAAGAGTACAAATGGCAGTGAAAAAAAAAAAAAAATAGACGACCTACCAAAAGTAAAGCAACAACAACATTTGCATTTACATTCAAGCACATGCACATATACATACCAATACACAAAAATATACAACATTTTTTACATTAAAATAGCTGAAGATGAGAAAGACGACTTTTAAAATGAGAATCAACTTTCGATTTTACGACGAATTCCCAGCTCGAATTCCTTTTGTTTAGAGACCAAAATAGAAAATTACAAACGGTAGATGGGAAAAAGATTAAAAACAAAAGGTTTCATCAGCAATGATGGAGCGAGTGCACGCGCGCGTCGGCTCGACAACAACATTTTGAGCCGCATTCATCTCTCTGCAATGAACATAGTCGCGTACAGTGAGTGTGTGTACGTGTTTCTGTTGCATTGTACAGTCACAACTTGTCAATAATAATTTTTAAATATAAGCACCGATTTCGTTGACAATGTTCAATGGCAATTCTCATCATGCAGAGTATTTTGTGTTTTTTGTTCGCATGCCATCGAACTCAAAAACATGCTTGTTCCTTGCAAATCCTGTTCAACCCAATTCGCCTCTCTCTTTCTCTGTCTATGACGTTTCTTTCTTTTTTAAGCTTGGAAAAATCGAACAGCAAAATTCAAAAGCATTCTGACGATGATAGAGAAAGAGAGAGAGAGAGCGAAGGAACGATAAAATACATACACTGCGGTAATGAACCAAACGGTGCGAGCCGTTTGAGAAAATACTCATTAAAATGAATACAGAGAGGCTTCCTTCTCTTCAGATCAACAACGAACGAATCGATGTGCAACGTATGTTGCCCAGACCAACTTAAAAACGACACAAAGTATGTGAATGAATAAAAAAAATAAATATTAATTGTCCTGCTGAGATTGGATGGCAATTTCTATACGGTTTTCTCATTCTCTCCTCTTTCGCTCTTCACTCTCTATGTGCTCCATCACCCACGAGAAAGAGAAAGAGAAAATTCGCTTGCTTCTTACTGTTTTATATATATAGATATATATATATATATATTTCGTACATTATTTTTGATATGGCCGGGCGCGCGCTAAACGACACGATGGACGGAATCAATGGAAAGCAAAAATGAATAAACGTGCACAGAATATTAAATATGTTGCAGAAGCATTTTTTTTGGTTTTGTATCGTTTCGATTCCAGCTTTTCGGCTTGCATTGTGTCGGATTATGTTTTGCATTCCATTTATGGTCTATTTTGGCATTTTCCTTTTTCTCGTGCTCGTTCACCAAGCATTGGTGTGTATGAGTGTTTTTTTCTCTCATCAAATGCGTCTTGCTTTCATTCTCATCATCGTCAATGATGTCGTTGCTGTTTGTTGTTGTTGTTGACTTTTTTGATGTCGTTCCGGCTGGTCGGAAATTATCCTCACGTCGGAGTGCAGTAAATTTTAAAATCTTCCTTTCGCCTCTGTATTCACAGTACGAAAATGCGCATCAAAATATCATAATAAAATACATTAATTAGAGCTTATGTTATTAATTTTTCCCTTTTGGAAAGTCTCTGTCGCCTGTTTCCACTCTCTCTTTTTCTCTGTGCGTTTGTGTTGTTGATATTACCAGCGACCGCATTGATTGTCACCACTTTTATTCGTACTCTGTACCTCGCAGCCGGCTCTTACAGTCACGAATTATGAATTTCCATTGAGGTTCGCCAGCACACATAAAAAAATTAATATCAATAAAAGCTGATAAATGCATTGACAGTATAATCGTCGATCTTATTCAAGCTCAAAATATGAACGATTTTCTTTTTTTTTCTCCACTTTTGCTGCATTCATTTTTGGTCCCCTTTGCCAAAGCCAACAGCTATGATGCTTTTTTTTTGCATGTGCACATTTTTTTCATTTCTCTCATTCATTTGCAACCGAAAATAAGTGCAATTATGTTGCAAAACGAATGTATGAAGTGAACCATATTTTCATGACAGCAGAGTTTTCTGTTGGTGAAATAAAAACCCTTCAGCACGACATCATATTTAAATGCGAATACACATTTCAACTCACTGACAGAATGTCAGTGAGATCTCTTTTGCAAGACACACACACACACACACATACGTACATACACAACGCATATACATATATTAAAATGTAACGCGATCATTTTCTGTGGATTCTCTCGATAAAATCATTATTTTTGGATTAACTTTAATGGATTTTGCATGATGCGAATGAAAGCTGAACGAACAAAATAGAGAACAGGAAAAAAACCTGTGATGAGTACGACGGCAGCAACGACGACAACGATAACAATAATGCAAGAAGAGTGAGTGAGTGAATGTGTATTGACGTTGATATTTCCATTACACACTCGATCCAAATTCTAATAAATTTTCTTGTTCGTGCGCTTGATGTGCTGTGCGTGCATTTCAATTTTCAACGTTAAGCCGATATATGTGTATACATCGCATACTTGAAATTTATAAACATATATAAGCGTGTATCGAGTCGAAATGGGAACAAAAAAAATAATACGTAATATAACAAGAACTTCATTCGTTAAAAAAGGAGAGAGAGAGAAGAGAATGTAGCTAGTATATCTTGTCTGCAATCCACACATGATGCATAATTCAATTATTAAATGATCAATCATCTCTCATTCTGTTTTCATGCGTGTCTGTGTGTGCTTTCATCCCTTTCACTTGTCTCGTTCGGGTTTCAAGTGAAACAACAACATGGTGAATGTGAATTTTTGGTTTGACGAGCAGCCAAACATTGTTATCAGAATTAACTATCAAACTCTTGTACGCACCAATTGAAACCAATCGAAATTTCGAAAATAATTTCCCACTGAAACAAAAAAATAAATAATAATACGAAAACAAAATGCACATACAAACATATCGCTCACATTGAGTTTATTTGTCGATCGAAAGCTGTCGTAATAACAGAGCTTTGAATTTACCGTCCATGCCTCCTGCATTTTCATTTCATCATGTTTATTTGCCCCGTATTGAGACAAAACGGAACAAAAATTCGATTTCTATATGAACTAAATTAAGCAGTATATTACTTTGATTTGTCGTCGTTTCCATTCCTCTGTTCGCTCTCCTTTTCTCGATTCTATTTTCAAAGTCCATTTAATATGGATTATTTCTGACGGTGTGTGTACAGTATCCTCTGGCCTTTTTTCTCTCTTTGTTTTGTTTTGATTCGATTGAATTCACTTCGACCGATACACTTTATACGATAGAAAAACCGATGAAAAGAGAGAGAGAGAGAGAGAGAGAGAGAACGAGAGAAAAAAGGCGACACTGTAATAAGAAAACGAAATCAAATCAATTGATTTGAACACAGAAAATTGCGTATACCTATATAGGGCAGGCGACATATATTTATGTTTCGATTGGATAGCATATTATGTGCACACGAATATATAACCATACACACAAGAACAATAACAAACAATATAGAAAATGAATCTATTCGCCCTTCTTCCATCGCATTTGATTCTTTGCTCAGCTAACGTTCACCTAGCGATTGGACGAGAACGAGCAATAGAGCGAGAGAGAATGAGAAAAGCACGTACGGCAACACATAAAAAGCAACAGCCATAACAACAAAACAAAAAACAAGAAATGATACAGGAGAACAAAGTGAAATAAATATCGAAAGAGCGAGTGGAGTGAATGAAATTGAAAAATCGACTTCGTAAACACAATACACAATATTCAGTCAGGGTGAGACGAAAAGAAACAAAGAACGAGAGACAGAAAAAAAAGTGCACACACTTGCCAAACCAAACAACCAACAACTATCACTAGAACAAAATTAAAAAAAGAAATATACAACAACAAAATACGAAAAGAACGCTTTTTAATGAAAAACTGTTTGTTATTTAGGTCTGCTAGGAAAAACGGCGAACACAGGTGAGATAAATTTCCATTTCTGAATTTGATTAAAAGTGTTTGTGCAACAATATATATGTAGAGTTATATTGTACAAATTTTAAATTTTTTTTACTGAAACATTTTCTTCTTTGCTTGCTCATGCAATACACACAGACATACATTACACAGATACAAATACAGACAGTAAAACAAAGACATATTTGCAAATACGCAGCCAATGACACACACACACACTTATAATACACACAAACAAACATAAATAAATGTAGTAGACAATTGTAGATTTTGTTGTAACGGTAAAAGCCCACACGGAATGTGAAAATGTCGTATATCTCTCGTGTACGATGTATTTGCACCATAGTGAAAGGAAAGAGGGAGCGTGGAGTTGTGTTTCGCATTGGCAAGCTCTGACAAATGCATTCATCAACACCAACTTCTCTCTCTTTCTATCTATCTTTTTCATTCGCTAGCTCTCTTTGCCAACATACCTAGCAATATAGCGTGTCATGAGACAAACTCAAACGAAATTACATGTACAGGCTTTTTTGCTTTTGTCGCCTATAGAATAATTGTATATTTCACTCTCTTTCTCTTTGTGCTTTTTTTTTTAATTTTGTCGCTACTTTTGTAGTGCTGCCTTTTTGTGCATACATTTTATTTCGATTCTGATTTTGTTGCTACTATTCAGTTTCGTTTTATTTTTATTTGAATTGTGAGCGCGCATTCTCTCTCTTTCTCTCTCTGCGCTGTACGAAGAGAAAATAACCGCAGCGAACGAATGGCACCGTTGTACAATAAAAGAGAACAATAAATTGGTATATATTTAGTGGTATCATCTAAAAATTAGTTTGCACAATTCCCAATTTGATCGTGTACTCTGCACTCTATTAATCTCTATCGAAATTTTGTAACGGTAAAATGCCGGTGTGAATGAATAATGTGAATTGTGCTCAGTTCGCTTGCAAATCGGTTACTTTTAACCTGGGGGACGGACACAAAATCTAGTAAAATCTAGTTTCATAGTTTACTGCTAATTTTGCTGATATTTTTCTAATATTAATAAAAAAATCTACACAGTAAGAAAATATCAGCCGACGCTATACGCAAAACCGACTGGTACGTGCGCTCATACGTTTTTACATCTTTTACATCTAGTGACCATACGATTTTTCGACTGATTCGTTACTCTTTGTGCGTATCTTCGCACAGTCGAAAAATCGTATGGTAATAGATGTAAAAGATGTAAAAACGTATGAGCGCACGTACCAGTCGGTTTTGCGTATAGCGTCGGCTGATATTTTCTTTCTGTGTACTATTATAACTATACAGAAATACTAATATTGCTAATATTATTAGCAATTGCTAATATTAGTTCACTAGTATAAACGTCAAACGTCAAATAGCTGATCTCAAAGTGAAATCATGTATGAATTTTTCATAAATTCTTAGATGAACATTTAACATTTTTTTATTTTTCCTGGCTTAGAAAAAATAAAATTTATTTCTATTAAATAGTAAAACACTTAAAGTAACAAAAAAAGTTTTCGGTGAGCAAAGTGCGCAATTCTCTAACAAGCAATGGTGAAGCAAAACAAACTAATTTTTGTTAATATTTTGCTAATATTCCGCTAATATTCTAATATTTATAATGGTGTCCGTCCCCTAGCTTTTCACTGTCAACCTCTCTGTGTGTTGTAATTTTGATACACATTTGTAGAGAGATGGCAACCGAAACAGAAACTGAGATAGAGAGGGAGAGAGAAAAAAACGCAAATCTCCATGTAGCTACATCAATAATATGTTTAAATGTTCAATCGGAAGAGGTTGAAATGAATTACAGCCTCAACACTCCAATAAAAGTGAAATACACAAGACCACCCTCTCTTGTTGCCCTCTTTGCGAACCTGCCAATTTGACAGCCCTGTGCCTTATGCTTTTACCCTAGGATTTTGCCGCTGATACCATTCGACTCATTGCACCATTGGTTTTTTAAGGAGTGTGTGTGTGTGCACGCGCGCTCGCCCATGTACGCTTCAGAGCAAGCGCTTACTGTGTGTTCTTGCTGCTTTAATTTAAACAATCTTATGTTTTATTAGTGCATTAGAGAACTTGATGTGGCCTAGTAATATAATCCAAATGCATTTGACAAACGTAGACATTTCAGAGAAGTGTCAACGAAGTTTGATCCGTTGGTTTTGCTTGCTGTTCAACCGTGTTTTTGTGCTTTACAGCAACGAACACACAGCAGCAGTAGCAGTAACATCACGTTGACACACCATTCATTTCACATAGAATGGCAATTACAATTCAAGCATTTTAACCCGCTGACTCTCGCTCTTTTGCCATTCACTTAGTCTCCAGGATACAAAACATAATGCCATGCTTACTCGCAACCGTATACACATCCACATTCACTCTCAGCCATCAAGTGAGCGAGCGAAGCGAATGCCATAGCTCTTTTTAGTAAAATAGAAAAAAATGCTGACATCGGCATCACAAAGAATACCGTCGTCATCGCAAACGTCGACGAACGTTAAGCAATATGGATTTCATTTAATTATTTATGGATATGCATTTCTATGTCATTTCACGTGTGCATATTTATATATATATTTGAAAATTGTGAACACATACACAGTGTGTATTACACACACACACATACACACACAGTGTGTGCGAGTTTATTTGTTCGTTCGCACACTCATACAATTTTCGCATCGTAATCATTTGACAAAGTAGACACAAGCAATGTCATTTATTCCAACGAAATCGAGTCGCTGTGACGTTGAAGTGTCGCATTTAGTTTATGTACTATTTACGATAAGCTGTTAACATGAAAACTCCGGGTTAAACAGAGAAAAAAAGAGAAAGAAATAATGCACGCACATATTTGTTGCAACTTTCTCGCTCGCTCGCCACACATTTCACATTGTTTTAAGTTCGTCTTATTCACTTCTTTCATTTGCCACTATCATGCTATACACAATGGCAATGGTATAATAGCGACCATCAAGAATTGATATTACTAAAGTTATGTGTGCACCTTCTTCATTACCGCGACAAAATGTGCGCGTGCAAACGATACACAAGTGGTTAAGCGCGCAAAATATGGTATAAACGAAAAATTTTCAACAGCAGTGCACTTGTCGCGCGTACTATAACACATAAACAGACATATATCTAAATGCAGATGTATGACAACGAGCGTATAACGAGCCACGACTTTCGAAAACTAATGAAAAAAATATCACGAAACGAAATAACCGAATCGAGAACAAAGAGTGAAAAACGAGAGACTCGATTTACAAGCGATAGAAGCGCGCGCGAACGAGCTTACGACCAAGCGAGTAAAATGCAACGTGCACATACCAGCACACACACACAACGACAACGACAACGGAATCAGCACACCAGAAGAAAGAAAAAATCAGCACACAAATCTTTGATGTGATTTCAATTTATTTGCTGTAACCTATAATATATGTATCCCGATTGATATATGAATGTCTCTGCTACTGGATGCACTATTTCACTATTTCTGCTTATTTGCATATGCGATGGTTTTCGCATTTTTTTTTTCGTTTTTGTTTCATTTTCACCCCGTGCGCGCCCATTGTTGGTTTCTTGCTCACTCGCTTTTGACTCAAAACGAGTGCGCGTCGTGCATATATTAAAGCCGAGGAGTTAAACAATGTAACAAGATAAGAAAACGCTCGAAATATCATATAAACCAATAGTGTGTGTGTGTGTGTGTGTGTTAGAGAGAGAGAGATAGAGAGAGAGAGAGAGAGAGAGAGAGAAGAGAAAAATGAAGGGAAAAAATCACACCGTGTATGAATTTGCAAGACAAAGACTGAAACGAAATGTGGATTGTGGAATGAGACGGGAAGAGTTTAGAGAAAAAATGCAAGCAAATCGTAGTGAGTGTGAGTGAGAGAGAACAAACAAAAGAATAAAAGAGAGAATGTGTATGTTTTCTGGCAGCTAGTAAACGAAATATGGATATCCTTGTATATCGAATACGCCATTCCTATAAGCTATTGGGGTTTTAGGGTACACAGGTCTTAGGTGCATAATGCATACACGTACTTAAAATGTGTGTACGATCGCACATTCATATTTCATGCGATTCATTTTGTTTTCAAATTCAATCCATTATTTTTCTAGTTGGTGTAGGTTTTTTGCTTGATTTTCTCTTGGTGTTATTGTTGGTGGTGCTGCTTTTGCTTGACATTTCCCATGTTCGTTATTTTCTGTGCTTTTTCTCATCCTACCTCGTTTATTCTTTTATTTTTTTTACTTTTTTTTTTGTATTTTTCACTGAGTCTTTTATTCCTTGTGATGACGCGTGCATTTTTCTACTCCTGAACAGCTCTCGGTCTCCCTCAAAACGGTCTTCCGTTTTCCTCTTCCAATCGGTTCGACTTTCTCTTTTTCTTCTTCGTTTGAATTGTTGGTGTGTAGCTGTTGCTGTTGCTGTTGCTACTGCTGCTGCTGATACTATTGCACCGCATATAATATATTCTTTATTGTGTTGACATTCTTCGAGCTCCATTGAATCGGTATTACTGAATTGGATGTGCATGCATACGACTGCGATGAAATATTGTGAGCATGGTGTTTCGCATATATAGCTTTCACACATATGATGATTTGAATTGGTGGAAACGATGAGACAAAAACCATCCAACTATATGTATGCATTAACACACTCACTCACCCTACATTCGCTTTCACGGTTTTTCTCACACGCTTCCTCACTTGGCCAGCTCAGCTTGCAGCAAAAGCTTGTGTATATGTAATTCTGATTCTTATGCGGTGCTGCAGCTTATATTCGGTTTTTCTATAGTTTAAACACTCGTATGTACCAAATGTAAACATTTGTTTTTCCATGGCTTTTCTTCCATTCTGTCACCCTCTTCATTGCTTCGTTTCGGTTTTTCTCGCTTATAACACATATATCGGCCTTTGCCGCCCTATCACTGTACACACACACACACACACACACATAGAGATAG